ACCCGTGGTGGGCAAAACACAGATAGCCCATTGTGTAGCTTTGTGCATAACTTAAAACAAACCTTTCGGATGTACTTTGTCACTGTGATAGATATATAACCAACGTTGTTGGTTACTTATGTTACAACTTGGCACCTTCTTTGTCGAAATTTTTTTAAGAATTGTATTTTTCACAATTAAGGATAATTGTTGATGTTTGTTATTAAGCACAAAGTTACACAAAGGGGCTATCTATGCTCTGCCCACCACGGGTATCGAAACCCGGTTTCTAGCAGTATAAGTCCGCAGACATTCCGCTGTACCACTGGGGACTAAGGATAATTCTAGTTTCCACATGTTGAACATTTTAGTAGGTGGATAACGCACATTTATGTTTTTAATTTATCCTACTAATCTAATTTTACTCTCTCTATTTCCCCTCTACGGTAGTTCATGAGCAAGCTTGAGAAATTATAATACTAAAAATTGGGGTTTGATTTCTGCGGTGGGTACCACACAGATAGCCCTTTGTGTAGTTTTGCCTAATAACAAACAAACAAACTGTAAAAGGTGTATAAATGCACGCAATACAAAAACGACGGTACAGATTTTATAACAACAAACGAATATCAAAAAGACAGGAAATAGAAAACCATTTATCCCGTGGCCTCAGGGTCTTACAACGCTAAAAATCGGGTTTCGATACCCTCGGTTTGCAGAAGCACAGATATCTCATGGTGTAGCTTTGTGCTTGATAACAAACAAGAAGGCTATTCAATTCGTCAAAGTCACCAAAAATTACCACACACAATATTTATGTAATAAGCCTTTTCTTATCGTAAAGTTACTTAAAGTAACTTGAAAAAAATAACATAAAAAATGAATTACACTATAAGGAAAATAACGACTTAATATACAATTTTACATCTAGAGTGTAAAATTTTACTAGCTTGTATTTCTATAACAGAAAGTCCAACACTCATTCCACTAGCAGTTTTATTATCATCAAGAACTTTTGAATCATATTACCTTCATATCTTCTTTATTGCAAAGAATCAAATCAAACGTTTCACGAAATAACTCAGATATTTACAGAATACTTGCGATGCTTCCTCGTTTTCCACCAAAGAATATCGGTGTATAAATATATAAAAATTGAGTTGACAATTTGTCACAGGCAATGTTGTAACTGGGACATAAAGGTTGCTAATTTATTTTAAACCTGATTTTATCATAAACAAAATACATATTATATTTACTAATACATGTTTTCCTAGGAGTGTAAAGCTGTTTTAGACAGTTGCTTATCGTAAAAAAATGCTTCTGATTAAGATGTAAAAAAGAACAATTTATGAAGATACACTATATCAATCTTTTAAAAAATGGCATTTTTTCCCTGCTCCCCCCCCCCCCTAAATAAAACATGCTTCGCTCGGTTCTGTCCCATATAACTACTGCTTTTGCGCTCATGACTTGTTTGGAACGTATTTTTTCTGTGGTATGCTATTTTGTGCATGTGTGGTTGAGGAGACAAATGAAACAAAAAAGTAGAATGGTGATTCAGTTTGGATGAGCTCTGATCCTTTCGAGGCGTAAAGGGAAGAGACTGTAGACACGTCCTGTTGTTCTTTTTAATCTGAATATATTAATATATAACACTCATTATTCCTAGCGTTCATCTGAATCAACAACACTGAAGCTCTTGTCTTATTGGGCAGAAGATCCAAGGGTGAATTTTATGTTTGTCATGTTTTGTTTTTTAAGCTTCAGTAAACTGCCTTGACATGTTTGAACAACTATGTTATCACGAATTTGGTGTGGTTGGTATTTTCACCAAACTTTTTTTCTTTCAGAATTTATACTTGAGTGTGCAAGCTGTTATAGGTATAGAAAATGATAACACAAACTGAGGATTTATGTATAAAAACAACTTTTCACAGCAACCATGTTTTTATGTCTTTTAATCAAAAGTAACCATATACATGTCAGAACAATAGGAAGATTGATTTTGGTCAAAGCTATGTTATCAGTTTATTTCTTTAAATTGATTTGAAATGCATTTTTGAGAAAAAATAGAAAATTAGAACGTGTTTATACTTTATGGCAAAAAAAATATGAATAAATCATTCAAATAATAAAAGTTAAGCATGCTGTAAAAAGCGATTCAAAGCAAAAAATAAAATGAAAGTTAGGAAGAATGAATTAATAAAATAACCACCTTCAGTATAACTACATACTAATCTACAATTTCTCAGTCAAAATTATAAACCTCACGTTGTTTAAATTAAATATTACTGAAGATTAATTATGCTCAACTTATAAAAACTGTATTGTTTATATCTAGTACATAAACAATACAATATGGCTCTATTTTATAAAAGCACGAAAATAAATTAACATAAGTGCTGCTACTCTGCGAATTATGTTAAAGGCATAACCGTAATTATTTTTATTAATTTAAAAATTATATCGCTACAGAATAACAAATGCATCAATGAAAGAAGGAAGTCAAATATTAATCTATTTAGCAATTTAATTCAGTTATTACCATAAAATCATCTTCACACATATGACAAGTATAACCTTCACGAAGATCACAAGTGGGTTTTTACATGATGCTATAGTTCGTTTAAATAAAAATCGTAGACTAAAATCAAATTATTTATCATATTATGATAAAGTACGGTAACGTATATGGGAAAAAGTTAAATGTTATTAACTGCTACTTAAATTGTTAAATAATGACTTGTGATTTTTTTTTTTATTATGAATGTTGCTATCTATGATTATTTGATTTTACGAACAAAATGCCACGAAAGTTCTTCCAGTTTAGAAGTCATTTAACGAAGTATGAAGAAGCGTGACTTATAAACTCGTTTATAAAGCTACAAAACTGCTACACCTAACCACGAATATAAGTCTCGTCCCACTTAACAGGGGTATAAATAACAAGTCGAAATAGGCGTTGTTGCATTTATCGTGCTGAATATTTGACTCTTCCTTAAGTTAATTGACTGTGCACTGACTAAGTAGGTAAGAGAATTATTATATACGTTTGTATAAAAGATCACAGGTAGAAATCGTTGTTTTTTGTTTGATTATGATTTCTTGGTTTACTATTTTTATTGTCAAAATTATTATCTTTGTGTCCATGTAATCAGAAAAAAAGTTCGCTTTCAAATAATGACCTACCGTATTTTTCGGATTATAAGACGCACCCTTATTTTGAAGACAAATTTTTTGGAAAAAAAAAGCTACAGTCGCATTTGAAAGATTTTTATTGAACAAAAATTCAATTTGATACCTTAAAAATTAGTAATTCTAAACACAAAAGAGCTCAAAACATCTAAGTAAGAAAATACCGTAAATCAAAAAAAGGTTTACTGTTATTTAGTTTGGTTCAAAACCTACAAAATGTTCATTGCTTTCACTGTAATTTATTTTTTTATTATTTAGGGAGCATTATAAATAGTTATGTTTTTGAAAGAAAAAAAACTACTATTGGTATAAATAACACATTCAATTGAACTAAACTATGCATTCCTATTTAAATATATTTACACATGGCTTGTATATCGTATATATACGTATATATTATTCATACCTTCGGTGTATAGGTTTTTCTTTGTTTGTTTTTTAATTATGCACAAAGTTACACAAGGACTATCTGTGCTCTCCCCACCACGGGTATCGAAATCCGGTTTCTAGCATTGTAAGTCCGCAGACATACCGCTGTGCCACTGGGGGGCCGGTGTATAGGACGCAAGCAGATTTTTACATCAAATTTTGGGGTAAAAAAAGTGCGTCTTATACACCAAAAAATACGGTATATTGTAACAATAATTTTAGAATATTACAGCGTATACAGAAATTTTAATAAACATTAGAAATATTCTGTCTTTATAATGAACTATTAGCATGAGGGAATTTAGGTATGATTCTGTGTACTGAAAACATGGACTTAGTGAAAATGCTAGTAACATTTTTAAACATAATTACATAAATATGATTTAAAAAACATGTCTAAGACTTTTTTTTTCAATCTTAGAGATAACCGAGATTCGCTAAATATAAAATTATTTTTTGTGCTGGCACAGAATTACAGAAATTCACACAGAAAGATAACAGATCATTACAACACTCAAAGTAGGATATTTGTTTGTTTTGAATTTCGCGCAAAGCTACACGAGGGCTATCTGCGTTAGCTGTCCCTAATTTAGTAGTGATA